ATTTCAAGCTTAATAAACCGGCGTCTCTCTTCCTCCACCGATCGTGCCGATCGTCCGCGATCGTCGCGGAATCTCTCCGCCGCGGAAAATCGCGATGAGAAAGCCGACCGGCCGATCCGTCAGTCCGGTGGCTTCGATATTCGTTAGTCAGGCCACATCAACACCTTCCGATCCGCAAGGCCGTGGCTCTTCCCGTGAAATCGTCTTTAATCAGACAGCCCGAAGTCGATCGCGCTCGATTAACCCGCGATTGCGCGCCGTAACTCATGTCGAATAAAAATAAAATGAAATGTTCGATCTGTAGAGAACTGTGAAGACTAAAGTGAAAAAATTGTAAAAACGCGAAACTGATAATGCAAATGCAAAATCGAAAAAGTATTTCTATCACATTAAAGATATCTCGCCTTTAGAAAGAATTGGTTAATTAATTAATTACGATATCACGAGTAACGTAACAGTAGTGTTGTAAAGATATACATCAGTATTTACAAGGATAATTTCCCATATGCCATATGTTTCAGTAACGATCTATAAGTATGGAGCACAATCGTTTCATCATATATACATTTAAAAAAAATCACGCGCCTACTTCCGGGTTGATCTCAATCGCGGGCTCATCGATTGCCGTGGCCGTAGGAAGCGTCAGCTGCGCGCACGTGGAAAGTCTCGAGAATCGCGCAAGAAATTGCGCGGAAGTAATCGCTTTGCAAATTACAACGCAACCGTGCGAAGGCTAAGTTCCCTTTCTCAGGTTCACGTATATTTTCCCGCGATTTTTTTCGCAGCTAGCGCTCTTCGCGCGCATGAATCACAGTGTGCCATGTGGTGAAATTCACGGATGGAGTAACTAATGTTCTTCCTACATTAAATTAATATATCTTTGGAAAAACTACTTGTACACTTTAAGCAATTAATCAACTTTTTTTAGTCGAAAGACGAGATGTCTTAACGTGAGAAATTCTCTCAAATTTGATGTTCCTTTTTAAAATAGAACACGCGGAAGGGCACGGTCGAAGAGACACACACGAAAGGGCATGAATCTAACAGACGCGGGATATGCGCTTCTTCGGAACCGCTTTCGAGGAACTTTTTTCGGCATCACACGTTATAACGGTAATTCCGTTCGGACTGTAATTGAAAGAGAGCAGCGCACACAATGCGGCAGCAACAGCAGCAACGGCGGCGGCGACGGCTTAATTGCACTAGGTCGAAATCATCGAGAGAACGACGGACGGACGCGGCGAGGGAACCCTCTTCTCTACCGCGGCCCGTTCTTCGAAAGTCATTTATAAGAGAGAGGGTCCAGGAGAGGAGGTGACCCCCGGTAACTCCAGGTCGGAGCGAGGCTCCGCAACGCTCCGGCTCCTAAGCTCCCATTATTCGTCGGGTTCGACCGAAATTGTCGATCGTTACGGAAGCGTGGATTTGCTTGCCTCCTCGCTCGAACACACGCATCATACTTTAACCCGGCAATTTACATTTGATATTTATAATTTAATCATTTTCGCTCGTGATTGCGGCTCTTTTCCGAGATACCACGGCGAAACAACGGAATAGCTAGAAGAGAAAGAAGTTATAATTATTTTTATTGTAGTGCGCGCTGTCTCTTAAAAAATATATAAATTTTGCGTAATATCACAGAATTTTCTTTCCATTGCTATTTCAAGTTTATAATCAGCGCCGAAAATTCAACAGTCTCTAATAAATTGATACATTATTGACAAGTTTACAGGCGTGCCTGCAACTAAGATGCTAAAATTTTATACACGCGAATTGTAATAATTCATGGAAAAATAAATACCCGCATATGCGCGACAAAATTTAATATTAATTACTACGAAACGTCGAGTTAAGAATCTTCGATATTAAAGTCAGTTTGGTCAAAATACATAACTCTTATTAATTACTATATTAACATACATTCCAATACAATATAATACATGGTGATGTGCTAAGCAATCCGTAGACAGAAAATAAGCTATATAGATATTTGATATGTCAGTTTAATATTAAATATAGAGTCAAACTTAAAGAGTCCATGATTTGTGAGTTAAAAAAATATTATACATATATACGGCAACTATTCGATAGAAAAACGTAAGTTTGCAGTGCGAACGAAGACTGCGCGATATTGATGTCATTCCCGGACGAGGCTATCCGAGATAGTGCACAATACGGAGGAAAGACGCAGTAAGAAAATTATAAAGTGCGAGTGACGGGGCAACATCCGCAAAAAAACTATACTTACGCAGTAAGTGCGTAATCTCTCCTGGCTGAGAACAAGGAGAAGGATGTAGCGCCGCCCTCCTATCCTTGTGCAACTCGCGGGAGAGACGCGTTAAGATAGTCGTCCAACGACATATTACATACCGTGGTATACAGAAACACAGCCGACGATCACGAGGACAAAGAGACGCCGATTCATTAGAAGCGAATTCCGATCGTGCTTTAATATCCAACGAAATAGAATGAAATCTTGTTTCTTTGATGTGAAACTCAGTCGCATTTCTAAGCAGTCCTTGTACGCAAGGTGTAGCAACAATCATAGTTTTTCTTAGTTATTAATTCCATCAAGAGTCAGAACCTACTTTTCCCTGATGACAATTCAATGAACATATTTATAATTATTTAACATTGAAAGTAAGAATATATTAATCTGTAAAAAAAAATATATATATATATCAGGTGCTACTTTTATAAAGTTGCAAAATGACGAAGGAGTTTCTTATCGTGTCAATATCTAAGGGCATAAGTAATTTAATAAACTGTATTAAGTGAATCACCGTCTCTCTCGCCCGTATTTATCTAATCGCTTCACTTTACAGCAGTTTGCTAGTTTTGTAATATGTAAGTGATTAATATATAACCGTTTTTTACTAATTAAACTGAGGTCAACATGATTTTGATAAACGCGATAATCTTAATTAATTAATTTGGTCTTGTAATGTATATTCAAACATCGTTATATGTTATAACTTATCGATGAATAATTTAGCTATCACCTACATCGTGTAACCGGCTATATTATGCAAAAGCCGGCTTTGCCGGTACATATGTGAAAGCAATAAAAATTGTGATAGAAGCAATAAGAACGTGAGAAAATAATTATTAAGTATTAGTCTCATAATTTATAAATTTATGGAATGTTTTATTTTTTATTTTTAATATTGGAAATGATAATTCCGTTATAAAGTTAAATCATAATATTACTGTAAATATTATAAAATTATTTTTCTTCTATTTAAATTGTATATTAATGTATGATAATTGTATGTTAATGAAAAATGAACTTGGCTTCTCTCTTTCTCTCTCAAAGAAAGAAAAAAATTTGTTGACAATTAAACTCCGATGTGTCACACACGCGCATGTTAATTAAGTTTCTTCGAGATCAAAATAGCTGTGATTATAATAAAATCGTTTTTGTGTTACTTTTGTGCGATTGGTTTTGTATCATTGATCGTACCCCAAGGCGGAAGACTGCCAGAGATCAAAACACGTACGTGAGAACGGCCTCGCGTCGCAGATGCTACATCACGCATGATAGCACCTTGTGCGGTGATGCAAGCGGTAAACTATGAGCATTTGAAAGGAGCCAACGCTATGCGCTGAGATCGCAATGATCTATAATGGTCGCGGGGACTGGTATGGAAATCTCGCCGCACTGTCTTGCAAATTAACTTCCGATACGCGATGGTAGCAGATCTTGTGTAAATCATAGTGATAACGAGACGGTACTCGTAAATCGAGTATGGGTATTTTCTATTACATTATCATAATCCAATGGTGGGATATGTACAAGCGTACAAATATTTGGAGTCACTGATGTTCCGTTAAATTATAATCGATTTCTGCCGTTTCGCGGATAGCGTCAAGAGCAAGTTTTGCTGCATAAAAGCAATTATATCTATGTTTTTAATTAGTAAACAATAAAAGTTTTAATTTAAGAGGCGTTTATATACGAGAAAAAACCTACTTGATAGACGTGCAATGAAAAAGACTTGAGTTCAATCATACATAAATGTGTATCGTAATGGCCTGTCACGTACAACTGTTTATTTTTGCGAACGTACGCCTCGGGGTATGTATGTACGCTGCGTTCTGTACGCTTGCATCACCTGTTCGAATACCCATTGGCTCTTTTTTCCGATCTCACTTGTGTCGCCGCGCAAAACGAAAGAAGGGGATACTTTTCACTCGACTGGGTGAAGCTTTACTGCTGACGATCGAGCAAACGTACAACGTTATAACGCAATCTAATGTCTTAACGATCGCGAAAACAGTCGTTCGCAGAGACTATAAAAAGTGCGCGTTCGCGCTGATTATGTCTGATTATTAGTATAAATAATACCGTGATCTTCTCGCATGCTGTGCTTTTTACAGCTCTTAAATGCCGCCTTAAATGCCTGCAGTGAAAGATATTGCAGTGGCCATACGGGGCTTACATTGCTAAGTTGGACGTAGCAATCAGAGGTTTCAGTTATTTTGATATGTGCGCATTATAAAAGTCCATCTTTCTATCTTTTAAAGATTTAAAGTATACATGATTTTCTATACTTTGTAAATATATCATACTTTGTCGTATTCTATTAAATTCATGTTATAGATGATAAATATGGTCGATTATAGGTTTGCAGATTTGTAACTGTAATTTACTGGCGTGTCTACTTTAAATTACAATAAACGCAATTTTGACATAATAATTAAAATTATAATTTTCGGAATTAGAGTACCACATTACGTTTTATTTCAAAAGTAACGTATTGCCTATACCGCCAACCTGTTTAATCCTACAAAATAATTTATTCTATTCATCTCCTCTCTGACTAGCTCGTTTGTATTTGCATCGAGTTACACCCCGAGGGCGACGATATCTAGCTATTATTGCTTGACATTTCAGACGATTCTTTTCGCCCGTTTCGAAACGCGAAGTGAAGCACGCGAGAGAGTTATCCAGGTGAATCGGAGGAAGGTGTGGAGGCGACGTGTGTCGCGGCGCGTACCTGTATGAGATGGGCAAGGAACAGGACGTAGGTGGCGGCCGCCCTCATGTCTCTCCCTGGGGAATCCCTCGACTACCGCATATCATCGATATCCCCTGCTGCTACTCCTCGGCCGCTCCCTCGAGCACTCCTCCGCGCTTTCGATGAATCCTCCACTGTCTTCCCGTCGCGCCGTTTGTACGTATCCTTCGCTCTTTCTCTCTCTCTCTTCCTCTCTCTTCCTTTTTCTCACCACTCTCACCGAATATTATCGATCTCTTATCGGCACACTGCACTCAGATTTTTCCGGTCCGCGCACCAACACCGAATATCCACTGGCCTGTGTCCTCCGCGGGGAGGAACGATCCTTTCTCCTTTCCGTGGAGCACTAAACACTCGTCAACACTTGGTGAATGAATGGTAGACTCGCGTGCGTTTTTCTCCGCCGTTTCTCGTCCGTGAAGATCCTCGAATCCTCACTTTTCCCGTGCATAAGCGACATTCAAAGAGGAGACTCGCGTAAGCTTCTTCGCGTACCGCTCTCGCGACGCGACAGGTACCTTTCGCTCTCGAGAATACTCCAACCACGATCGCCGTGATACGGTCCTTTTCTCTCACGCCTCTTTTTTTTTCTTCGTCCTGCAACTCACTCGCTTCGTTGTTCGTCGGTCCTCGTGCAAGACTAATCGCGTCTAATTACACGACTCGTGCCTACAAATTTTCATCGGACAGGAGAAAGCGACTGCGCGCGCAAAAGCCTGATGATCGCACGCGCGCTACTCCAGAACTCGACACCTGCTTTTCTCGATGCGCAAGTCGCGACGTCCAGCACGTGTCCCACGTGTACGAGCGATACGACAGTTCGTAGAAATCAATTTGGAAAGTTGGTAGCGTCGCGTGTATTCTTCCTTCCCGGACACGTAGTTACGGTTGGATCTGACACTGATTTTCGCCGGTCGATTCCTCAATCTGTAGGCACGTTGCGGCATATGAAAGACGAGAACGACTCGGAGTTCGAGCTATCAGATAATTCCATTCGCACTCCATGCGTCAATTAATCCCCGATGCACGAAGGGAGGAGAAAGAAATCTTCGCGGGAGTCGTTCGCACCTTTTGAATGAATTTGTTTATTGTCGCAAGACGCTCGTCGCGCACCCCAATTCACTCACACAAGTAACAATCCTGCGGTCCTAAAGAAGCGATTTCCTCGAGATCCTCGGGAGAGAAACGCGATATCTGGGCACTACCGTCGGGAGAACGAGACGTGTGACACTGCCTCACGCACACGCGTGACACACCGCGAGAACCCGCGAGAGAGTCGGCCGCCCGGCGTCGTCGGCGCCGCCGCGGAAACGCGCGGCGAACAGGTGTGTGCACGTGTCCGGCGTACGCGGGAACGTGTGCGTATAATACGGCGTGCAACGCGCCTTCGATGTGTGCACGGACACGCACGCACGCCGCCGCTCGGTAGCCGGCGTGCACAAAGACGCGTGTGTGTGTGCACGTGCGCGCGTGTGCGTGTGCGTGTGCATGAATGCGCGGCGATGTCCGTGTGTACCGTTCCTATACCACTTGTTAATCCGTGTGCGCACGCTGGAGCACGGAAACGCAGTAACGTCCGCGGGGTACACGACTCGGTCGCTCCGGGGATACTGAGTCGGAGAGCCGCAGGCCGGCCTGCGGGCCTCCCCCCTAATCCCACCGCGGCTCGTCCCCCCCTTTCGGTGCAGCCCCCTTCCCGAGTCACTCCACCTCCGGGAGCACGGAGGACCCCTTTACGTGTGTACCCCGCGCGCGCTCTACCTCGCATCCTTATCGGGGTCCTCTCTCTTTTTCTCCTCCCGCATCGCGCATCGCGACTTTACACACGTTCGCCGATGCTCGCCCTGTCTTTCTCTTTCTCTCTTTCCATCTTACTCGATCGCGAATCCACCTCGTATATATGCGCACGTGCGTGTGCATCGGGCCGCGTTTGCTCACGCGCGCATAGGTGACTGTGTGTGCGCGCGCGCCGCGCGAACATCTCGAGGGCTCTTTGCTCTCTCTTGCCTTTCTATGAGGCATTACACGACGACGTACACTTGTGCCCCCCGTGCCCAGGATGCTGGGCCCGGCTGAACACGAGCTAGCGCGCGTCCGTATATAAGTCTTACAATCGGTTTCATCACGAGCGGCATCGCGGAGTCGGTAACGCCGCGCCGCCGCGCGGTGGTTGTGTATTCTCACCTCTTGCCTCGCGATCGAGGCGAGAAACGCGTGGCTTAGGCGTGCTCTTTGACTGCCGCTCGTGATATGAATTTCGCGGGGGCTGCTCGCGAGGAGTTGCGGTCTGGGGTACCATCCAGGCCGCGAATGGCGTTTGCAAATCGCCGGAGTAATATAAATTTCGTTAGTAGCTATTCCTGCGAAGGAATAGCGGATCGATGAGCACAATGAGAATTATGGGAATAATAAGAGTCACTTGTTTCCGTCCGTAAGCAAAAAATACATGAAAAATATTAAAGCAAGACCCCTTCCTGCAAATAATAATGGGTCTGTTTCTTTTAGCTGCATTTGCTGAATTGGTGCACACTGATGCAGTAAGTTAGAGTAAAACAAAATATACTTGTCTCACTCTAACTTATTGGCACCAGTTCAGCCTAGTTCAGCCAGTGCAGCTAAAAGAAACAGATGGCATCTCAAATAAAAATTATTTTCTTAAAATCTGCACATGAATAAATTACTTTTTCGTAGCAAAAAGTTAACGCCTAGTTTCTCATCGTGATGTTTCAATTTAAGAAATAAAAATACCGCAAGATATATTAAGAATTATGTGTGGATATGTTAATCGAGGATTCACAAAATATTTGACAGGTTACTCTCCTTATAAATTGACTATCTTTTCTTGCGGAGACAAAAAAGGTGTTTAAATGTCGTTAATAATCATCGTATCGGAGATCGGTTGTTTGTATCGAGTCGTTAAGGTGGGTTCCCGGTAGACTCCGGCTGGCAAGACAAAATTATATGTATTCACGAAGAATGATTTTGGACGATGAATAATGGATAAGTCCTGTTGGTGTCGCGTGTCCATCGTCATTATATGGCTAGCGGGCTATGCTCCTCGCGAAAGAGTGATGCCATCGCCGTTGCGTCGCGTCGTGACGATCGTCATTGAATTTCTGCCCCATATACATACAGTATATATACCGTTCCACCGTAATTCGCGTGTCAGGAGTATCATGCGAACTGAGAACCCGAGTTAAATGGCTATAAATTATCGTTGCAATGAGAAACGTCTTCGCTGATCTTCTTTCAGGAACTACGTAAGTAACGATGTATGTCACTTTTATGTGACGCAACGTCTGGTAATCGGAAAATTATAAACGCACGCGGATTATCGTACAGTATCACGTCTTTCTTGAAAATTAATCTATTGAAATCTGTATATGTAAACGTGTTCATCAAAATCGTCGTAATAAAAAATTTGCGAACAGTTTTTGAATTTATGCGAGAGCATTCGCGCCACTGAAAACACTTATTGTTACGATGAATAAAAAATTTTGTTATTTTTGCAATCCTAAACTATTTTACGTATATCTATGCAATGGTTAACCCAGGAACAATTACCTTATTTTTTTTTTGCATAAACGCGGGGTGAATTTTACCTCAATTAAAAGTCATTGTTATTAATTGCATATTTTTCATTGTTCTATAATTTATTAGTATTAGAAGACAGAATATTTACTCAATATTTTCTAAAAAAAATTAAGAAAAAATTTAAAAAATGTTTAGAAAACGAAAGAAGCACATTAAATTTATTAAAGCAAGATCGTGTATTTCAACCATTATGAGTTTAAGAAAAAACTTTGGCAAATTGTTAAATGTCATTAATGATTGAAAAAAACGCAAAAGTTGATAAAAATATTCAAGAGGCAAGAATTGAATGACAAAAATAAATATCTTGGAAATGAAATTTCACGACGCTCGCGCCAGTTTTGATTAGCGCGGTCATTAGAATTGCGGCGGGGCTCTCTTCGGCTGAAAGAGCCTGTAACGGACGGTATAGCGCAACACGGCGGGACTATATCTATCCTCTCTTTCTGCTCTTCTGGCGGCGGTCTCTTGAATCCGACGGCGAACCCGGTGTGGTAGCGCAGCAGTATGGTGTACCGTGGTCCACATGGGCGGATGGACGAACGGGCGAACATCAGTAGTGGGATGCTGCGCGGTGATGCTGCTTGGTCCGCACGCTCATCCGTCGTTCTCTCCCTGTCTTTTCCCTCTCTCTCTCTCGCCCGCTACAGTCTCTCCATTCTCGTCCGTCCTTCTTTATCTCTCATCGTCTCATTCCGTCCCGTTTGGTCTGTCCTTCGTCCTCTTCTTACTACTAGGTACGTCACTCTTCTCGTTCTCGCTTATACCTTCCGCCTTCCTCCCGTTCTCCGTCTCTCTCTCTCTTTTCCTCGTCTCGAAGGACTTGCTTACTCGAGGGCCCCGAGTTAGCCGGCGGGCATTATGGTGGCTACTCCGTTGGCTTCTCGCGTCTCTCGAAAGCTCACGAGAGAGTGTGCCCCCCGAGGGTCAAGGAACTCCCTCGGGAACAGGTTCACCTCCTTCCCTACCTCTCTCCACCCCTTCTCTTTCCACTCCTCCTTCTCCTCCTCCTCCTCCTCTTCCTCTCTCTTTCTCCTTTCCCCTTTCCTCACTGCACGCCGCGTACCATCGCCAACCCGCCCTATGCCCCCTCCGGTTCGTACCTTAGGGTTTTACTTATTTTCTCTTATTACCGCCGTGGGCATGTAGGTATGTTTCACATACACACATACACACACACGTCTGCAAATCCAGCTCGTACGTACACGGGATACGGTCCACCTCGAGGTTCACCGGACTCCCTCCTTCGCACTCAGCGCCGTTCCCTATGTTCCTCTCGTCTCCCTCCCGCCCCCTCGCTCGGTGCTTCTCTCAGGTACTCCAATATGTGAGCACATTATTACAGAGGCGCAAGAGGAGCGGGAGGGACGCGGGAGAGTCATAGGGAGTCTCTCTCTCGCGAGGGAGCAAAGACGAGGTGAAACGCACACGCGTTTCTCCCGGTAGGTAGATGAGGAAAACGCGCGAGTGAGTGAGCGTTCATGCAAGGGTGTTTAGGTGCGGTTCCCTCCCCTCGCGCGACCCTTCGCATACTCCTCTTCCTCGCTTCCCCATCCTCCCTCCGAGTCTGTCCCGAGTCGAGCTCTCTCTGAGAGCCAGATACGAGATTCCACCTGTGCTGCCTGATATGCTGCCGTTGCTGCCGTGCTCATCTTCCTCTCGTCTCCTTCCATGTCTTCCCCGTGTCGTGAGATCGTTTCGAATTTGCTGGATAGCTCGTCCTTTCTTCTTTTCTTTCTTTTCTTGTTTTCTTAAAAGCCCGGGCCGCGCAACCGGCCCGGGGGATTATGGCGGCGCCCAGACGAGAAAACATGTGGATTTTCGGTACACGATATACGCATGAATCGAACGAACGGAAGAAACGCGAGGGCTCGTAATAAGAGCATTTAGCGGTCCTCGCACCTCGCGATTTCCTCGCACGTCCTCGCCGCCTTTTGGCGCGTCCCGACCGTCCGTTAAGAAATTGCCTACCGCCATTCGGCGGTTTCCTCTTGTCCTCGGTTTCGTTCTCTCATGAGATCGTTCCGAATTAGCTGGATACGCGTATTTTTAACAGCCCGACTCAAATGGCAACGGCAGACGAAGGATTATGTGGGCCGGTTCGGCGATCGTGGAATATTTTCATGTTGCAAGAGACATCGCCGTGGCAAAAATGAAAGAATCATAAAATCGCCTTTCCTTTTTATCAGATTTGGTCGGATTCTTTCTCGGGTTATTCCAGTATATTAGGATTGTCCGTTAAGTAAACGAGCGCTACGTATATTATTATTTATGGTATTTATGCGTACGCTGGGTAGCTCGAAAAAAATACTTTTTGCAACGAATCCCATATAGTTTTCGCACGCGTGTCATCGACAGGACTCTAGGCATATTATTCTCCTCGCCTTCTATTTTCATTATTCATGAATTTACGTTTAGGTTTCTGAAGGGCTTTTGCAAAAGCGGGAGATGTAATGGATACGCGACGGGGCGCAAACCGCGCAGAGTGTATACACACGCAGGAGGATTTTAATGATCTTTCTTCAGGCATTCGTCGGACTATAGATACCAGATTCCACCTGGACCGCAGCCGTACGTTGCTTCGAACTCGGCTGCATCCGCGCAGCCTGTCTCGAGGACACGAACTTCTTGTGTACTCTTACTTTCTTTCCTC